GCCAGGACCTGATGTCAGTGATTGATGGCTGATCCGGCATGGGGAAGTCCTTGATGGCTGACAGACGTTGGGCAGTGGGCTGGTACAGGTCCCACCCCAGGAGGAAACCCACAAACTCAGCTTCTCTCCTGCAGAACAAGAACTTTTCTGGTTTCAGCGTGATACCTGTGCGAGCGCAGGTCTCCAGAAAATCGTAAGTGTGCCAGAACGCCCCCTTCACACTGGAGTCATAGAGGAGAGTGTCATCCACGCACTTGTACTTGCGGGGCACATCCTGAATAGCGTCGTCAAACCTCTTGGTGTAAGCATCTGACGCTGAGCAATGTCCCATGGGCGTCCTGCAGTATCGAAAACGTCCCCACGGCGTGATGAATGTGGTCAGGCGTCTACTCTCCTCCTCCAACTCCACTTGATGAAATCCCCAAAAGGCGTCGGCGACGGTTTTGAACGAGTGCACTGGCACCCCAGACACCATGTCGAATGGTGCGGGTGTGTGGTGCGTCTCCCTCAGACAGCTTGCATTGAGGCGTTGGAAGTCCACAGTGCGCCTGGGCTGACCGTTTTTCTTGGCCACCACGACCATCCTGGCGCACCACTCCGTAGCCTCACCAGCAGGCACTGGCTGGATGACGCCTCTCCTGACGTCCTCCTCCAACTGGGCCTTCACCTCCGCTTCCCAGTGTTTCGGAACGGGAGCGGGTGTGTGACAGGCGTAGGGGGTCGTGCCTGGCGTCAGGTGGATATGGTGAGGGGGACCAGTCATGACTGGCAGTGGGGACCTGCTGGTGTTGAATGCGGTAGACGAAAAGTGCGTGAGTAGCCATGCCTCCAGCCTGGCCACATTCTCCTCCAAAGGAGGCAAGGGTATCTCAACTGGCCTCGGCGGGAAATGGCTGCTCTCAGGTAAACGGTTCGGAGGTAGATCGTCGGCAGTGTGCCGCTCCCCTCCATCGCTCACGGCAGCCACAGCATGTCTATGAAGCGGGAAGTCGACAGGCACCAAGTTGAGGCACTTGCAGGCCTCCAATGACAGATAGAGGGCCTTGGCTGTCTGCACGAAGTAGACCTCCTGGACGGTGGACCCCCCGTCCACACCGAGGCGGCAGGGGGCGGACCCCAGACACTTGAGCTGTTTGTTTGCCACGTCCCTTAGGCCATTACGGGCCCGAAGTTGCCCCGGACACAAACCGATGTCCCGGAGCAGGGATGCGCCTGCCACACACACCATAGCACCCGTGTCAGCTACAGCCAGCACAGGGGTGGCGGGGGAATTGCCCCCGGCCTGGGACACGAACACTTGTAACCTGGGGTGGCGGGATAGCTGGGCTGTTGCCACTGTAACAGCGCCTGACACATCCACAGGAGCACTTAGGGCTGACTTACTCCTACAATACCTTTTGAAGTGACCAACCTTACAGCAATTGCGACATGTAGCCCCACTTGCAGGGCAGTTACTTTTACCAGAGGCATGTGACACGCCGCAGTTACCACAGTGCACGCGACTGGGGTGTCGAGGTCGGGCGGCAGCTACCGCAGACTCACCGGTGACGTCATCACCAACCGCCACTGCCTCCGCGGCTGTTCCCACCACTGCCTGGCCAGACGTACGACACAATACACCAGCATCTCTCACTGCTGCCTCAAATAACATGCATTTGTTTCTAAGCACTTCAACACTATTATAACTAGAGTACCCCTGGAAAATTTCCCTTTTCAGCACTGGGTTACTCAGGCCCACCATAACTTTACGTAATAGCATGTACTCAGAGAGGTCGTTATCACAGGTGGGACATTTAAATTCACACTCCACTGCCTCTGCGAAGCAGCGTTGAAAATACCTTTTCATGGGCTCCTCTTCACCTTGTTTGCTGTTGAAAAACTCGTTCCATTTCACAGCTTGGTTTGAAGATTGAAGAACCATTCCACTGATGGCGTCCAGGGCTTCTTTGGGCGAGAGCTGCTCCCACTGACCGCTGGGGTATCTCGAGTCAATCACCCTTTGGAGTGCAGGGACGCAGTTCAGGCGAATGTGGAGTGTGGCCACCAGTTGTGACCACCCGTTCAACAGCACCCATGACTCCATGGACCGCCTCCATGTCCTAAACGCAGCTGCTGGCATTTCTGCCTCACACTTCTCTGGAGCGACAGCTGCTGAGGGCTTCATGACCGGCATAGAAGCATGACCACCGCCAGCACCTAGAGACGCCATCTGAGCCATCAATGCACTCATGGCCTGCTGCTGGGCGCGCGTGGTGTTCCCGGCCGGTGTAGAGAAGCCCTGGCGTCCCCTTGAGGGCGTCGAGAATCGTGGACGTGTAGGGGCCATGTCAGCGTTCTTGTCAGGGCTGTAATGGCGTGTCTGGCCCCGACATATCCTACTCAGTGCGCCATGTGAGAGGTTGGAGTCATAGACCACGTTCTTTGTAGACTTTATTCTAACAGCGTCAGCTGGAGACTGGCAACCGGGCGCTGCCAAAGACAAGCCCCCATCTCAACATGGGAAAACATATCGTACGATGGTACAATCTTACAAAGGTAAATTAGGCAAATAAATTAATAGGTCTTATAAGAAGGTCGTTCAGATATCTAGATGGTCCGTCCCTCGTAACGATCTTCAAGAGTGAAGTGCTTCCCCATCTGGAGTACTGTCACCCTGTCTGGTCCCCGAGATATGCTAGGGACTGTCAGTTGGTTGAAAATGTTCAAAGGAGGGCCACCAGACTGGTCCGACTAATTACCCAAATGTAGCCAAATATAGCCGGAATGAAGTCAAATAATGGTCCTAGATGAATAAATCGGACTGCCAATTACTTCTCGACTAGTATTTGGTGTTACGAAGTCACAAAAAATTGGTACTTAATTTAATCTGAGTTAATAGATCAAGTGCATGTACCTAACCTAATCTAACCTAACACAACACAACTCAGATTAAATTAAGTTTACCATTTTTTTTTTTACTTTATGACACCAAATAATAATCGAGAAGTGATTCTCAGCCCGAATTACGCTTGTACGATTGACGTCATTGCGGCTACATGTGGGTAATTCCTCGCTCCCTCGGTACATGCACGCGATCTATTAACTCAGATTAAATTAAGTTTTCCAATTTTTTGTGACTCTGGCACCAAATACTAGTCGAGAAGTGATTGGCAGTCCGATTTATTCATCTAGGACCATTATTTGACTTCATTGCGGCTCCATTTGGGTAATTAGTCGGACCGCCACCAGGCTGGTGCCTGCCCTTCGGCACCTCAGGTACCCTGAGAGATTGGAGTGCCTGAACTTGCCTAGCTTATACTACAGACTGGCAAGGGGTGACCCAATAGAGGTGTATAAGCATCTCGAGGGGCACCACTCGCTGGCGGACGCTCGCCCCACAAGGGGTCACAGCTCAAGATTGAAGAGTCCGCAAGTCCAGAAAACTGTGAGGGCAAACTTTTTTGGAGTGAGAGTTGTGAACTCTTGGAACAATCTACCAGAAAGTGTTGTGACGGCACCGAGTGTGAGCTCTTTCAAGGCAAGACTTGACCAACACTGGAGCGGGTTCAGGTACATTCAGGAGCCGGTGCATGCCCAGTACTTGCCAACAGTGTGTAACAGAGATGTGACCCATCGCTCAAGCGGCTAACAAGCCGATCAGTGGTGAAGAGGATAAAAGCAAGAAAAAGTAATTGATAACAGTGCCTAACACCGCCCAAGCAGGAGCAGCTAGTAGGTCGATCACTGGCGAAGACAAATAAATATTGTTTGTCAATCATAAGCAAAGTTAATTAACTATTACAAATTATTTGGCATCTTAATACGATAATTTGTTTAAAATTGTCCTTTATTTATATTTTGTATTGTTTGGCAGATTGGTATCTATGTACTGTACAATTTTGCAAATTGCAAAAGTACTGTACAGTACTTAATTTTATCACAAGCGAGAATATAATTCTTATTAAAATTGGCGAACCACTTGAGAAGCTCACTTAAAATTAATAAAACATTTGAATAATCTTTGCTTTATTTTATTATCATCATTCCAGATTATAATTAAAATCGACTTATGGAAAGCAATTATGTTTTCTTATATTGCAGTGCAACACAACTCTTGTAACTAAGGGGATCTGCTCTGGGCAAAATTTGTTAGTTTTATAGTTCGCGAAGTATTTTAATCGTGAAAGTGTCTTTAATTCATAAATTATAATATAACTGTGCTTCTTAATTTAATATGTATTATAAATATTCTGTATCTTAAGGATTTGTTAATATTTTAAGCTCTTTATAGCGTGTAGCGAAGAAATTAATGCAAGATTTCTTTGTCTACAATATGAGCTTCGAAGTCAGAGGGACCAGTCTTACCAACCAGGTGTCAGGACCACTATTATATATTTCTTACTCAGAGCACTGCATGTATTTTCGTAATTATTTAAGGATTACATAAAGATCAAAAATATCATCTCAAAATATTATAAAATATTTAAAAACCGAGGTATTTTAATTTAATCAGATTGAAATCAACGAAATATTTTAACAGTTGGCTGCAGCACAAACAGCTGATCCTGTGTGGCTTGAGGGATGGCATTGGGAAGAAGGGTATTATCGATAAATATGTGAAACTTACAGGTATTTAAGGCTTTTATACTGATGGATGTCAGTCCAAAGGCAGTTATTTATTTCCACAAACCATCCATTTATCGTTATATATTACTTGGGTGTAGGAATCGGCTTTTTATGGTGAAATATGGAGTTGAGTATTATTGGTTGTGTGGTGGTGATAGGGGGGTCGTTGAGTGCACGGATTGGACCTGAGCCACCAACTTGTTTACCAGTGTAGTGTGATAGTCAGGAGTGGTCTAGTAGGGCACCTGAACCACTGCCACCACCAACCTGTTTCATTACCAGTTGCCATCATCAACCGTGACAGCCTAATGGATGAACTCCAGGATTAAACTTAGGTAGAGACTTCAGCTGACATAAGCAGTAGGGGACTCCACCCTTCCATCGGTAGGATAGACTTGTTGCCGTTGTGGTTTATTATTATACCATGCTAAGATTGATGTTCATTTAGATAACCTGAATTTGGGTTTTGGATTGGCAGAACTGTACTCAAGCAGTTGTCTGGTGTTTCAAAAGTGTGGAATTAAAGTAATGGTCACTGTGGGGCTGTACTACCACTACAGCCACCAATAATAAAGTAGGGAATGCTATATTAGTAAATATTTATGACTTAGCAAGATATTTTAGTAATGATCAATGTCACAGTTGGAAGATGGAAGAAATTGTTTTTGCATTGAATTATAATCAAAGTGGCATGTCTTAAGCTGGAGATTTTCGAAATTTAATTGTTCATGAAACTACTTGAGTGACAGTACTTTCAAAATATGTAAAGGCAAACAACCCAAGCCAAGGATATTGTGGCCACCATTATAGAAGTGAAGTACATGATATTGTGGCCACCATTATAGAAGTGAAGTACATGATATTGTGGCCACCATTATAGAAGTGAAGTACATGATATTGTGGCCACCATTATAGAAGTGAAGTACATGATATTGTGGTCACCATTATAGAAGTGAAGTACATGATATTGTGGCCACCATCATAGAAGTGAAGTACATGATATTGTGGCCACCATTATAGAAGTGAAGTACATGATATTGTGGTCACCATTATAGAAGTGGACTGTTACTATTTTACATTTTCATTTTATTTTCGTGGATGAATATTTTTTAAATGCATTAATGTACAAACATTTACAAAGGTTAACACTTTTATATTGGGGTCCTCACAAAGCAGTTTAAAATAGCTGCGTCCAACAAGGTAAAAGAAAATACAAGAGGATAAGATGGGTAATACTCTGGAACAGCATTTCAGGCGAAGTAGTAATTGAAGGACTTTTTCTATACAGTAGAGGATGAACGCTTTCTTCCCGAATGAAAATCCCATAAAATAATGATGAATTTACAATGTGCTAAATGTTTTTTTTTATTTACATCCTGAACACTTTAATTTGTAGATGAGTTGTGATATTCACTGTTATGTATCCAGTGTTTCTTTTCATACTGTTACATTGACACTAACTACCAGCAACCTTGGAACAGTTTTCAAGGGAAATGATAGTAGATCAATGGAACTTTTTGGGGGGTAAGTTTAAGGTGCAGTTGTGTGTGGTATCCAGCCACTTAAGGATAAATATCTACAAGAAAACATTTCTTACCTCAAAAATAAAACAAATTGGGTGGAGGAATATCACTTTTCCTATTCAAGTTTTTCCCCCTAGTTTTTCTTGACATCAAGAAATACGCAGCCAATGCTGATATGTTTACTGCCACCATTTTTGTTTATCTGAACATCAGAATTTATAATCTGAGGTCACCACCTGAACTTTTCATCGGCATTGCTATTCCGTTTCGCATGCCAAAAAAACGGCAGAGGTAACAGCAACTTAACCCGATGGCTGTGGTAGAGTGATTAGCGGATTGGTGTGCAAAAAACACATACTACTGTATATTGATTTTCCCCGAATATCATTTTAACTCTTGTGGATTATAAAAGACAGTGTATAGAAGAATGTGGAAACCAAATATAAGTCCATTACTTAACTTAGTTTGGCCGCCAGTCTCTCATAGGGTAGAAAAGGGATTCTAACCTATTACTCATCCAAACACTCGATTTATTTGACAAATTTACTGAAAGTAAATACAGTTGAAGTTTTCAACATCACTCTCAATGGATCTTGAATGTTTCAGCTATAAGTGGGTAATTTTGAATATATATACAACAACATGCGATTTCATGAAGTTTCTTAAACGGAGGATAGAGGAAACATACGTCTCAGTGGAGGGACTCGAGAAACTGGCAATTAAAAGTATCCCATATTTGACCCTGCCAGTTATAAAAATTTTCATGCGCTACATTCAAACGATCTGAATTCCAGAATGTATGTCACACTCTTTTGCTTAACATTCGAGAATGTATGTTGCAGTTATCGGGTTAACAAAAACTTTCCGGTGCTACTATAGCGTGTGGTCTACAAAGATATCTGTAGTCTAACGTAACCTGATTTAAGCTAACCTAACTTACCCTGAACTAACCTAACCTAATTTAACATAACCATACCTAACCTAACTTTATCTAATCTAACCTAAGCTAACTAAATCTAAATATCTTATAATCTTGTAGACTGCATGCTATAGGAGCACCAAATTTTCTTTGGATGATGGTGATAAATTTCTTCTTCAGTTTAATAAAAATAGCATCCCAAGAAGGACGAATATGACACTTATTATTAATGATAGTAGATAGGTAGGATTTGGAATTTTTCAATTACAGGTATAGTACAGAGGCATACCTGTAAGAATATTACATATATGTATTAGTTTGGCAAAGCAGGTGAACCAACAAAACAAGCCTACCCACCTACCTAACCAAGGATGGAAGTTTATTGAGTATAATTATCGTTTCGGTTATCCAGCGAATTTTAGGATTTTAAGTTTTGGAATCGTTAGTTTAGATAATTCAAAGACACTTTTCTTCTATTGCGTTTCCGTTGGAAATTTAAGTTTTTTGAGTATTTTAACCAATAAAATTACCTACAATATTATTTGTTCAAAGGGAGCAGGGCTTTGAAGTACAGTAAACCCTTGCTATTCGTGGGTTTGCGATTCCCGATTTAGACTATTCGCAGTAAGCAGATGGTGGCTAGCTAACGAGCCTGCCCGCAGTGCAATGAGTCACCCCCACGTGCCCGCAGCGTCTCCTCTCGCTCCTCTCTCTCTTTGATTGTGCTCAGCCATTGCTTGTGACGTAGCATCTCTTGTGTTGTAGGTAATCCCCGTTATTCATAGCCTCGGTATTCATAACCCTGTTTATCCGCAATCAATTTATTGTTACCCATTTCCACTATTCGCAATGGTTGCCCCGTTTATTCGCAAATTCTTACGAGCAAAAATTTTGAACCGCGCGCCTCAACCATAGCATAGGACAGCGTGTGTACATATTCCTCCGCCATACGCTCCCGCTCACCTCAGTCTCACACGTACTGGAGTGTGTTTTATGTGATCTCGCAATGCCTAAGCGACCAGCTACTAAAACTCCCAGCAATGTTGCTAAGAGATCACGCGTGGCAGTTATGTTGGACGTGAAATTGGATATCGTAAAAAGACATGAACACGGGAGCGTGCACGGCTTGGCTCCCTCTACGGTGCATTCTATAGTTAAAAGGAAACGTATATCAATCCACGACCCTGGCAGTGAGGAGAGTGAGGTGGCTGATGACCTTGGCAGTGAGAAGAGTGAGGTGGCTGACTACCCCAGCCTCCTCTCACCCCAGTAAACTTTCACCCTCTCCCCTAATGCCAACTTCAACAAACAAGCAACACAGCACATCAGAGGTAAATTAACAGTGTACGTATAAACTTACCTCACACCTACTCTCATAAACACTCGCACACTCAAACATATAAAGTACCCCTGTATACTGTACTTATAAACATATATGCCTAATAAACTCAGTGTTTATTATTGATGTTTACCTGTATTTGATATTATGCCCTTGTTTCTTTGTTTATTTTGTTTTATATGTATTGAGTAAAACAAGTGTTAAAATCTGATGGCCGTGACCACCCCAATTGACATTATTTCTTCTGGGAGAAATTGCTCCACTATTCGCAATTTCGATATTAACGAGTTTCATGCCCGTAACCTTTGCGATAAGTGAGTGCAGCCCTATACTGAAAACTTTAGTGTTTGTTTGAAATGGCCCCTAAAAAACTGCCTTGTGTCAGTGCTAGTGAAGCTTGTGGAGTGAAATATTTAGAGACCTCAAAGCCAAGAGGAAACAACTACCAATCATGATGTTTTTCAAGAGAGAACCAGCTGCTTGCCCAGCTGATCTATCTTCCTCATCTACTCAGTCAGCTGCTGCTGCCGCTCCACCACCCGCCTTCTCGCTTCTCCATCAACCACTACTGCAACACCCTCTTCCAACAGTGATCCCGATGGTCTCTTTATGCTTCAGTAACCAGATTTCATTCTTCTGTATAGTACACCTCATCAAGCTCCAAACTTCCACATACTAAGGAGAGTAATATTGGTGACTAAAGTTTCTCATACACTGTATAGGTATAGGTATACAGTAGTGAAATAAGGTAGTATAAGTTCCTATTCGCGGTTTTGCCAATTTGCACCGTTCCTTGGAACCTAACCCCCATGAATAGCAAGGGATTACTGTAGAGGGAAAATGTGGGACAAAATACTAGAAATAACACCAAACAAACCTTTGAAAAACCTTACTTAATGTTTCCTAACTTGTAACAATGTTAAGAATCACTTATGGTTTTATGGATCCCTCCTCATTTGAACACCAAAAACAACACCATCACCTACTAAACACCGGAAACACGAATAAGATAAATGTTTTATAGTTTTAGGATTTTTAAGGGTTTGGAAACACTGCCACCCTTACTTGACAATCCTACACCTACAAAAACGAATAAATGATGGGGTATGTGCCAGTTTGGCAACAGTGTATGGGTTCGCCAACTGCGCAAGTTCAACTGTCAGTTCCGGCTCAGCCTCCAAGCAGTGTGGACTATCTGTTCCCCCTTGTCACCTTCGCTAATTAACAGACTATGGATGTGGCCTTTCATTGTCCCCCGGGTTGGCACCCTAACATGGCACAGTGTACTTCTACTGGTGGCCTGGAGGGAGCGTCGCCGACGTCTACAGTGGCGTTTCCAGGCAAGCATCATCGGAGCGGCGAGGAGCGCAGTCCACACATGGTCGTCAACGCTGGCCCAGTACCATCGCCACAGAGCAATAGCGGCTCACAAGGTTTTGGAGCCGGCCTGCTGTACCCTGCACTCCCACAGCAGGCCCAGGCAACAGGGCGTCCACCGGCGGCCCAGGGCAAGGCGTCCATGGGCACGTCTCCCACCATTTTCAGAGCCTGGACATTCAGCGTCTACAGATGCAACTGGCCACAGGCTCTGGCAGCGGGCTACGTCCACCTTCTGTGTGACACAGAGGTGCAGCAGTGCATTGACGCGCAAGTGAACAAGTGTGTCTATGATAACTTGACGGTGGAGGAAGCCATAAGGGCTTTAGAAAGTGTTGTGGTAGGCCCAAAGTGCGTTGTGGATTCGTGGGCAGACTTTTTCGCATACACACAAGAACCCGGCGACAACGTATCCAGGTATGTAGTGAGGTGCAGGTCGAATGCAGCTGGGTGCAAGTTTCAGTGCCCTGCATGTGTGTCTAGCTTGAACGACTACATCCTAGTGAAGAAACTAGTGATGGGCTCGTCAACCCCAGTATGAAAAGTGAAGTGTTGCACAGGGTCCCACTTTTGAAAGACGTGGGCGACGGTATCAGTGCTTGTGAAGTGTATGAGTCAGCGGAAAGAACCGCTTCCATGTCGTGTACAGGAGCAGTGGCGGGTGCCGGAGCCCGCCACTTTAAACCAAAGACGCCGGAACCTAGCAACGCCGGTACACCTCGCGCCCAACCTCAGCGACGTTGCCAAACGTGTGGACGCGGCAAGTGTGCTGGTAACAAAAAGTGTCCCACACTGCACTTAACCTGTTACAAGTGCAGCCTGGAGGGACACCTCGCGCGCGTCTGCAAGTCACCATTACAACCCAACGCCCACGCAAGCACCTCGGGTGCGGCTGTGGTCGTGGGCCTGACGAAGGACATGGCCTGTTTAACGGTGTCAATCAGCTGCAACGGGGCAGAGGAGGTGCGGCAATTGCGCACCGTAGCAGACACTGGCGCACAGGTGTGTCTGGTCGGCTGCAACACGTCTACGTTCTTGGGCTAGACCCACACCACCTGGATGGGCCCCCATCGCAGTAAATCACTTCGCCATAGGGGGTGTGAACATACTCGGGAGCAAAGAGTGCCAAGTCACCATGGGACGCGCCTGTATTTTGCTGAATGCGTCCAGTCTCTGTACCTGTCTTAGTCCGTGTGCAGAGGGCCTGGCGCTGCGCAACTTCCCCAACACACCCATGGTAGTCAGCGCCACGGGGCTCATCAAAGAGGAGCCCAGCTTTCCTGCCCGACCCATAACGCCTTCATGCGAGCTGAAAAAAGAGAAAATGAAGAGGCTGGAGAAATGGTTTGTTGAGCATTTTGGGCGCACAGCATTCGCAGTGAACCGCACCCCCCTGCCCGAGATGAAAGGACCTTTCCACCACATTCATCTGCTCACGGACTCGGTGCACACGCCCGCAACAATACCCCACCATTTCTACGACGAAGTTTGCCAGCAGCTCGAGGAAGACGTGAGGAGGGGTATCATTGAGCCTGTGCCTGTTGGAGAGCCGACAAAATGGTGCTCACGCATGGTGGTCGTGCCCAAAATGGACGGGTGGTTGCGCAGGAGAAGTGCTGGTCATCCCCTGCCTCAGATATTTGCCAGATAGATCTGTATCCTAACCTACTGTAATCAGAGACAACACTATGTCTGCGGACCATAAGTTCACGTCGACGAAAACAGTGTGGATAAGGAAGAAAGTGATCATAGTGTTGGATGGATGTATTAATATTTTCAGCCCATTCACTAACCCTGTGATGGATTGTAGGGAGAAGAGCAGCTGAACGTATTATTTTTCGGTAGGTCATGCTGGGCTTATATATAGGGCTATAAGATCCTGATTGGACAGCCATAGTTTTGAGAATCCGTTATTGATTAATTTGAATAGAAAGATTTGCAAATAAACTTTTTTTTTCTTCAGAATTAGCCCACCAGGGCACAGGTGGGCCTGGGGGCGAAATTATAATAATAATAATAATAATAATAATTTATTAAAAAAAAAAGAAGAAAAAATATGAAATAAAAATGTAATAATAATAATAATAAAGGACCATAAATAAATACAACAATTAAAAAAAAAAGATTAATAGTGAGAAACGATATACTGTATATATGTTGTGTTGTCAAAGTAAGAGAAACAATTGAGACCCTGCAATTGTGTGTAAATGAGGCAGAAAGTCAGATCAGCAACCTGGGACTTGGTCACAATTTTTGTGATGCCATATGGCAGCAGGGTCTACCATTAGTCAACACATTATGCTTCCAATATCTTCCCAGGCGGTAGTACCCCCGTTTGATAGCTGCCTACTGCCTACTTTATGCTGTCTTTTATTTTTATCTTTAGTTAACTAGTTTTTTATAATTTACTCTGGATTTATTTTAATATTTGATACAATTAATAATTTTGTTGTTACTTTTTACTTTCGGTACTTGAGTACTTTATGAAGGAGATTCTTTTTTACTTCTACTTGAGTACATATAATGTAGCAGTACAGAATCTATTAAGTTTTTGGAAGCATTCTTGTGTATGTATTTTTAATGTCAAGCGAAGATCTCGTTGTTGAGTTGACATAGATTAGTGTTCAGGATGAAAAAAATCACAATACCCCCCCATGTATATATCTTTCTTGAACAGTGATCATGGCGGAGGTGAGGGATTTGAATGTGGGTGATGTGCTGGGGCTGTTGGAGAGTACGCAGGAGGAAGTCTCTCAGGAAGTCCGGGCACTGTTGAAGGAGACCTTTGCCACTGTACGTGAACCATGGCTTGTCAACGGCTTGCTGGAATATTTCTATGTATCCAACAGGTAAGATTAAAGACCTTCAGTATTAAATGGAATCAAATTTGACAGGTTTTCTTATGGTCATGATTCAGTAGTCTTCCCTTATGATGCAGGAAAATTCAAAATGGAGAAATGAACTGTTTGGGGGTTAAATGTGGTGATGCTCCTTCTGTTTAATAGTTTAATAACCTCTACTGTATAAGGAATAACTGAAAATTTTTATCCGCTCTTAACTAAAATATGTATTTTTTCACCTATCCATCCTTCTGTTTGTCTCTCTTGATTAAATTTTTGTAATATATATATATATATATATATATATATATATATATATATATATATATATATATATATATATATATATATATATATATATATATATATATATATATATATATATATATATATATATATATATATTTTTTTAGTGATGTTGAAAGATAGTGTTCCATTATTTTTAGAATAGAAAACACTGTTTAAGTGAATATGGCTTCTCCTGACTCAAACTGCTTTGATGTCAAATTTACTATATACATTCAGTTAATCAATCAATCTATAATTTATTGATTTTTTTTATTTCTCATTTGTGAATTAACATGTTATACGCGACTGTACTACTATACAGTATATTTTACAGTGGTCGCCTCTTGGATATTCTGCTGGGAGTAGGCGAACCTCATGATCGCCATCTCTTAGATAGACTGATGGATGGATTAAAGGGATCGGATCGCTTTCGTCAAACCTGCATCTTGCTTTATGCTGTCCGCCGTCAACCGCCTCCCATGTGGTTGAGGAAATTTCTTCAGCATGGTGCCATGCGTGAACTTCTCCATGTCCTGTTAACAGATGAAGATGTCCCTGTTTTAGTAGGCGCTGTCATGGTTGTGGTGGTTCTCCTTCCAGCTTTACCTCTTGAGATGGGGCGGATGCATCTGTCTGCGGTTTTGGATATCTTTTGCCGGTTGGTACGATGGACTCCAAAAAAAGAACATGATGAGGCTTTCCAACCTTTTTTACAAGTGGCTGTGTATTCCCTATTTCATAGACTCTATGCCCTATATCCATGTAATTTCCTTACTTGCTTACGAAATAGTTTCTCGAAGCCAAATTCATCTGCCTGTTTCTTCAACACTCTCAAACCAATGATGGAAAAAGTCCGTCTTCATCCATTGCTAATAACTGAAACCAAGGAATCTGAACTAACTAGAGCTAGATGGGTGGGTCTGGAAACTCACCACTTGATTCTTGAGTGTGCTAAGCTTTGCCTTGATCCCATTGAAGCAACATGTGAGGATGTCTGTGGCTCCTTTTTTAATCGAAATCAAGGCTATGATTTGGGTTTGGATACCCTACCTGTACCCACCAACTGGGTGGTATGTGCAGTTGAAAACAACTTTTGGTCTCCTAGTTTGTCTTTGCCTTCACCATCCATGCTTTCAACACCTAGAGGGTCATCATCTTCTGTACCCCTTACTCCAGTTTTTCCAATTAACACCCCAAACCTGAAATTAACAGGCAAGGTAGCAGAATCTCCACCCGAAACAGCCATCGAGGCCACCCCAGAAACAACACCCTTCACATCCCCAATGAAAATGGAAGCCAGCAATGTGGATACCCGCCGACCTGCTGCTGCAGTGTGTGCCTTAACCCTCAACACAAGTGTGGCTAAGGACAACCAGACTTTGGATGTAGAGGCCAATGCTAGCCCCTTGTCACCCATCAAAAAAGATCAAGCTCCATTTCGATTTCCTGATGACCAGTGCCAGGATATATTCTCTCGGGCAGAGCGATCCACCCTCCTCCAAAGTAAGTTGCAACAGATATTGAAAGAACGACAACAAAATCAAAAGGAAAACAACAAGCCACTAGAAGGCAAGATTGACAGTGAAAGCAAAGATGTTGATTCAAAGGATATTAAAGAAACGAAAGAAAACAGTGCAGGGATACCTAGAAAGGCCTTAGGGGAGAGGCAAAACTATAGTACCTGTATATCAGCAGCAGAGAATGAAATTGATTCTTCTAAAGGTGATGGAAGAGTCACACAACCCGACCAAGGGAATAGAAGACGAAAGCTCTCGATGTATGATGGCAGTCAAAATATTGACTTTAAACAGCTAGGAGTTCCTGTAGAACAATTTTCCAATGGGAATAATGACCTAAACTTTTCCAATGACACAGTTATAAAACCTGAACTGGATAATGAAGATCAAAATTACAGATTATCCACTGTTATTGACCGTAGAATATCAGAGGAGAAGGAATCTGATGGCAGTGATAGCAGAAGATCTTCTGATGAAACTAGGGGGTGTGAAAGTACAAGCTGTGATGAGCCAGAGAGCCTAGGATTAGGAGTGCCCAACCAAAGATCAATGACTGACCTTGTAAAGAACATGAGAACAATGAGATTAAGATTTCTTAGTCAGTGTGGCCCTCCACCTGATCTGTCACAGTACAACATGGTGGGGGTAGCTCGAGTGGCTGTATCTCCCACAAAATCTATCATTACTCCCATTAGAGCTCAGTCCAAGAGTTTGTCCTGTCCAGATCTGTCAGTGGATGGCAGTCCCCAATCAACCTCTATCCATGAGGGAAGGGTAAGGAAAGAGTCGGCAATGTCATCACTTACATTGTCCCCAATAAGACAGGCAGTCGAGGTAAGCGAAGCGACAACACAAACGGAGGAAATCACAGTTATCAATCCCTATGAGCAACTTCTTGGTGCTCTAGTGTCTGGTCCAACATCTGCTCACCAGCCCAAAAGTTCAGAAACCAATTCAAGTAACACGGAGTTTACTGTCCCATCGCCACACGAACTGTTGGATCAATACTTACGAATTAGTACCAAGATTGGTGAGGAGGCCAAGAACATTTTGTGGAAGCAACCTAATCAAATAGAAGGGGGACATGAAGGATGGAAAAGCCAGGTTCGCCTCATGCAGATCATGCTGCTTTTGGAAAGACATAAGCGTGAAGTGCATGCTGAACGCAATCGCAGGCTGCTAGGACGGGCAAAAAAGGTGTATGCACTTGAAGAACAGCAAAGAGGATTACGAGAGAAAGTAACTCAACTCGAAGGGGAAGTTTCAAATCTGAAACATGATATACGAAACTTGCAGGTAAACGCATCGGGCAAGGAACAGCAGCTACAGTTGGCCCTGACCCAACAGCAGACAAAAGTTAGCCAAATACTCGGAGAACAAGAAGTTTCAAAACAGGATCGTGAGTTGTTAAAGAAACAGTGCAGTGCTCTTAGCAAAGAAAATGAATCTTTGAACACTCAGTTGCAAGCTGCCCAGGCTGCCTTGCTAGAAAAGGACAGACAACTTACCGTCCAAGCTCGATTAGCCAACGATAATGAGCTCTTACGTAACCAGGTGGAGGTTTTACAGAAACAAGTTTGTCTCATGGGAGAAATACAGGACCAGTATAAACAGGAAGTTTGGAAGTTATCATTATCAGGTGGTCCTGGTGCTAGGATGGGGATGGGATTAGAGCGTATAGCTTCCCAGCAACAGGTTGAAGAGCTTGAAGAACAGTGTCGTGTTGCTAATACTAGTTTAGATGCTGCACTAAACCGTGTAGCCCAGCTGGAAGCTGCCCTAGCAGAAAAGAATAAACAACTAGAACAGCAGCAGAATGCAGTGAAAGCAGCCAGGGAGGTTGGAGCTGAACAGTGTCGGGCAGTAGAGCTGCGTTGCCAGGCATTGGCTGCAACGAACCAAACATTAGAGAGTTTCACTCTGGAACAAAATGACCGTATAGATAGACTAATTCGCCAAGTTAGAAAGTCACAACGAGGTAAATCTGTTTGTAGTGATGGTATTGACATTGATTTGGAGTTGTCTGCTTCCCCTTCTTCAGCTAGTGTCAGCAGTGCAGCCACATCCCCCCCAGATGACCCTCCCTATTCTGCTGGTTCACTTTTGGGGAGGCAGCCAATTGTGCTCAACAAGCTTGATGTCCTTGCAGGACAAGAGACGGAGCCTGAGGGCCAATCACGCAGGAAGACTTAGATATGGTGTAATAGTAGTGTCATGTCTGTTGAGAACACACTGAACCATTTGTAACACAGATTGAGGATGCAATAATTGTTTTGTGAGGATGTTGGAAAGTGTGTTTAGTGAACCTTGTGGTAGAGTTGTAGGACCACTCATAGCAGCAGCAAATATTGAAAATGTTGCTCATGTATGTTTGTAATGAGGGCATGTCAGATGTGAGAGATCTGGTTGTGATTGTAGTGACATGCCTTGATGCTTGTTAAACATTCACTATCCTTTGATACTGTTGTTGGACAGATTGGAAAACGAAAAAAATTACTGGTAAAAATGTGACGCTTAGCCTCTTAATTTAGTGAAGTAATTGGTGAATCGAGGCAAGTAACATTGTATTGTGTATCCTTGAACTTCTGCCAGATTGTTTTGCCTTTATAGACCAAGTTGAGAATTTTTGAAGTGTGAAAAATATGGATTATGGTATTTGTATTAGTAGTATGGGGGTCGAAACATTTTGTGTGATGCATTGCCTAGTGTTTTGTATAAGAAGAGAATATATAACCCAAGACACGTGGCCAGTGCTATCTTGTACTTCAACATAGTTACAGGCATAATTTATTCTGACTTGGTCTATTTTTTTTTCCTTAGCAGAATCCCACACACTCTCATCTAGTTCATCTCCTGGTGTCTTCTGTTGTGGGTAAATACTTATGAGTATACAGTATGGTAATTAATGTTGACATTCATGCTATTGCTACTTGTTAAGCTTTTTAAATTCATGTAAATGTAGCTTTCAATTTGTGAAGTTTTGCTCAATTTTCTTAAATGTACATTTACAGGAAAATGTTTCAAGTTGTCATAATTGGATTGGTTGTCTGTTATGTAAGCTGTAGATGTTAAAGACCATACTCCATTATTATTGTTTACTGGTAGCAAGACCAGCATTTTGTAATTCTTGTGGTCTACAATAGACTGATTAATATTAGATGAACCGAGTTTGGTTTCAGAAAGATATAAGCAAAATAATGGAGTCATTGAAGAATGGGATAAGTTTTCTCCTAATACAGTACAGTACTCCTGGTACTGTCGTGGATTGTTGCAGTTGTTTGGGGTTTAACCTATTTTTCAGAATATTTTTTAATAAGATTTAAGAGCCCTTGCAGATCTTGGTGTAAATTACAGAGATAGTACATTATCTGGATTTCTTAAAATTCCTGTTATGTACTGTAATTATTGTGCTTTGGCTTTTGAAATTGTGCATATATATATATATATATATATATATATATATATATATATATATATATATATATATATATATATATATATATATATATATATATATATATATATATATATATATATATATATATATATATATATATATATATATATATATATATATATATATATATATATATATATATATATATATATATATATATATATATATATATATATATATATATATATATATACTGTATATTTTATTGGGGTTGAGTGGTCCTTCATCCGGATAGCAGCTAGTTAGTGGTATTCAGAGGGAGTAGGTGAGTGAATGTGATCAAACAACTCTTGTATATTATAAGAGTTAACATGAAGTGGGGATTACAATGATGAGGAATAGTGTGGTGTTTGTATTGTTTATCTTATTTTGACTATTGTTGGTCATTTAGATGACAGGATCTCTTGGTCGGCCACTAGTCACAGCCAAATAGCCGCTCAAAGTTCAACTGAGAGATTATGGGCCTTCAGCACAGATAGTTGGGCAGACAGTGAAGAATGATGGATGTCTAGTATGGTCACAAAAATGTTGCTCACCACTTGAAATTTATGGAACCAAGCTTGAGGTCATTGTATACAGTACATGAGTAAAATCAGTTATCCTAGATTCATGGCCATAGTTTGTTTTGTCTTGGATAGCTAGGGTAAGATATACAGTCAGTCCTCGACTTAGGACGGGGTTAGGGACCGGCTACCAGGTCGTAAGTCGAAAATGCGGAAATAATATGTGTAGTACAGTACATAGAAAATTTAAAATGGGTGTCTCTTTTTCTTCTCAGCACCACGAGAACTGTCACTTTTATGTTTGCCAGCCATTTTAAAGGGAATTACAAACTAAAATTTTGTCAGTACGCAGCTCGATCACTAACGTCGGTACTCGAAAATACGTAATTTGAAAAATATTTTATACGACTGTGGCGGTCGTATGTCCGGGTGTTTGTAAGTCGCAAGTCGAGGAGTACCTGTAAACTGAATTTGAGTATACAGTATGCTGCCCTAGTCAGATGAAAATTAAAATTGCATGTGAATTGAAGAAACCCTTTTGGAAAGCTATATTCTGACATTTTGTTTACCAATATGATACTGTATATTTTTGGATAGTCAGCAAAATACGTAACTGTCTATGGTAATTCCAGAAATAAAGTTCTTAAATATTTATAAACTTACATTATTCATGCATTTTAAATACGTCAAAAGTATCTGTGATTCTTAGAAAATGTTCTCAGTGAACATTATAGGAAATCTTGATGTAACCCATTGATACACCATGTTGAAAAATCCTTGTGTAACTAACTGATTTGTAAGCATCTGGGCTTAATCTATTTTGGTTAGAGATTGTAAATATCATAGGTCATATAATGATACCTGTATAATTCCAATATTATAAATTTCATTTTATCAGGATATGTATTTTAGAAATGGTATCGGTGGGTTTATATACGACGTGCTAGTAAAACCTCGATAAATCGAAATTCGCTTTTTTCGGACTCTGAGATACCCTGGTCACAAAAAAAATACAAATACTGAGTAAAAAAAATCTGATGAAATGAACAACACATACTGAATACTGTACAGTGGTCTAATCGGATTTGCTATAGGCCTACTGAGAACTAAGACACTGTAAGCAGACTGGGGCTGATCAGGTGTTGCTACCACATTCTTCAGGTTTATTTATTTATTGATTCAGTATTATATTCTCATATGATTGGCCTCTTATGGTTTATGGTTCATCATGACTAATATAACATCTTCAGTAATAGAGCAAAATACAATTCTGTATGTACAGGTAATTTGTAATATGACTTGAAAATAAAAGGATAAGCTGTATCAGAAGGTTGTTTACTCAGATGCATTCGTGTGAGCTTTCAGTAGACCGGCTTACGACGTGGGTCACTATAATACACTGTATAGTATTTGATATGAAGATATCTTCTTAAAAACGTTATTTACTACCTTTGAGTGTTATATGATGACTCAGTTTGGCTACTTCTACACTTAGACAGATGATTAATGAATAAACCAGGATATATGCAGATGCATAATACTTGACACTACAATATTACCTATAAAGTGATGATAAATACACTACAATAGTATTTGTTAAGTGGTGATAAATACACTGCAATAGTATTTATTAAGTGATGATAAGTACACAACTGTACTGTACTAATTTACTAAGTGTTGAAGACAGACATTGTGGTAAGCCGATCAGCTGTTTGCTCTTTGTAAACAAATGATTCATGGTGTTCAGTGTGGTATTCTTTTTTCAGGAAAGTTGATTCTTTTAGGATAATAATTTATCAACCTGGCACCAAATGATCCTAAATTATATGAGAATTGTGGTGGAATTGCATAAAGAAGTGTTAAAGAATCTTGTGGGAGAGAGGGAGCCACCTACCCATGATCCCCCTCCCCCTTTCTGCCAGCCACTCACAGATAAACATTTGTCTTCCACTTACAATATTCTCCTACACCTATTTGTTCTTATTTTTATCTTTATTGTACTGTACAGTATACAGTTTTCTCTTTATTCATAAGACAAATTCTTTGGTTACTTACATAATATAATACTTTACAATAAATAACAATCATCTCAGTGACAACCAGACTTACATGTCTGATTTCAACCCAGAGAGTTGTTTCATATATATTTTTTTTATTGTTGATGTTTGATGTAATATTATTTTAATAACCTTGTTATACACTTAAAGACCTTAATTTTTGACGTGCAGTAATAACATAACGACTGATTTTCTTTAAACAGTTCAGATAAGCAGTGTTATCTCCAACCCCCCTCCCCCATACATTTGCTTTTCTTGGACATTCGCATTTTCTGACGGGTCTGCCCCAAATAGTCCGATTTATCAAGGTTCTACTGTACTATTAAATTGAGTTTCAGCTTAGTTGTAGAATTTTAAAACTTTTCTTATAATCTAGCAAAACTGGCAAGTGAACAAAGTTATGTAGTTGATCAGATATATAGATTTAAGATTTAAGTTTAAATTGACATACATGACACTGACATTCCCACCGTACAACAGGTTGATAGAATTAAACCTCTTCCATGCTGTCCATTCTTGGCACAACTTGCTCATTATTACACATAATTTTTAAAATACAGGTTGAACCTCGCTAGTCTGGCAAGCTTGGGACCAGACTCGTGCCGGATTATTGAAAATTCCGAAGCTTAGGTTAAAAAAAGGAAAAATAGTGTGTATACAGTGGTCCCTCGGTTAATGAACACAATTTGTTCCAGAAGGTCGTTTGTTAACCGAATCCATTGTTTCAATGGGATATTGGGTAATTAGTTCCAGCTCGCCAAAAAGTACAGTACATACAAAGTAAAAAAAAAAATGCAGTAAAGTACACTTACTTTGAGGTGTGTATGTAGAAGGCTCCTGGTTGATGATGATGATGGGAATTAGAAGTGGGGGTGGAGGAGAAGGGAGAAGAGAAGGAAGTGGGGATGGAAGAGAAATCACCCCATGCTTGATGCCGTCATTTCACCAATAAAATTTTAAGTTCACTAGGCGTAAATCAAGATTATTTTCTTTAAATCAACACTGCACTGCACTATATTGTCAATATGTTAAATAAATTTCAGAATGACCAATAATTGTACTGTAAAAATGTAAAAATACTCTGTGTTCAAGAGACCCACAAGCAAGATGTTTCTTCCGCTGAACAGAGACACAAACTGACGCCTTGGTGGGTGAGTGAAGTTGCTGATGGGTGCACCAAAAACTAGTTCCCTGTACTGCAATTATGTTAAATAAGTGTTAAAACGACTAATAATTTTAATATAAAACCTGGAAAAATATTGAATAACGCAACGTTCTTGATATTTACTCCAATGGAAACGAATATCAGCCCTAGAACTGATTACTGTATTGGCGGACTAATCTTCCAGCTGGTGAGCAAGCCAAAACATGTTGACATGTTTTCGTAAGAATTTCGTAAACCGAATTTTTGTTCGTTAACCGAATTGAAGATTCTTATGGAAGGTAATTCGTTAACCGAGGCGTTTGTTAACCGAGGGACCACTGTATTGTATAGGGGAACTTCTTTATACGTCGGGGATGTGTTCCAGAGAAATGCGACATAGTGGAACATTTTATGAGGAATATTCCCTATAAGAATTAATGTAATTAGGGGTACATATGTGTTCCAACATGTACTGTACAGAAATACTCCATGAAAGCTCAGGATGTATTCCTAGAGAGAAAGCTTTCAGCAAATTGCCTTACAACAGGGACGTTATAACATACTGTATAGTATTTGATATGGAGATACATTCCTAACAACATTATTTGTTACTTTTGAGTGATACATGAGGTGTGGATAATCAACTGTTTACACTATGTAAACTAAGCCGCCGGGAATTTAATGATTCAATAACTCGTCATGGGTTGAGTATGATATTTTTTTTTTTTTTTAATATTGATAATTTTTACAAGGTTTTATTAACTTGCCACCAAATGAACCTAAATAATATGGGAATTATGGTAAAATT